AAAATTCTCGCCGCTGAAACTTCAAGTGGAAATGATTTATTTAATTAAAAATAAGGTTTTGTATGTTAACGAATGGCACGATTTGTAAAATACTCACTATTTACGATAAAACTTGCGCATAAAACAATGTTTATCTCTCGTATAAGCAAAAAGTCCATTATTTTTAAAATCGAAGCAGAAATTGAAGCAAGTTGTTTGTTTAAAATTCGGGAATGGAATGCAGAAATTCTGACGAAACGAAACTAGTTTCCCGCAAAGAAAATTTCGTTTTCTGGATAGCAATCCGCAAATTTAATGTGAAGTCAAATCGAAAATTACTTGTTTATTTCACGCATAGTACGTTTCTCCCAAATTCTCTGGCGAATCAAGCTCGTTAGAAAATGCCTTCGAATGTAAGAGTTCGAGGTATATAAGGAGTGTAGGGACGTTAACCGAGGTTCTTACTTGTAGGAGTACGAATACACCTAACAAGAGGCCCATGGGCCACATCGCTCACCTGAGTAACTTACAGTTTATTCTTTACCAGATTCCCCTTCTTGCTATACCTATCGTGTCCCCACTCCCTTCCTTTTTATGGTGTTTATACTTTATAATCCACACTACACCAGGATGCTTCCACATACGTTTAAGCTTTCCTGGTTCAGTGGTTTTGACCCTACCGATTTTTGTCTTTTCTTGATTATCTCTCCTTGTAAATGGAATTGCCCCTTCATTTTAACAATTTTAACTCCTCTTTATCCAAGGATGCTTTGTTCCAAGTTTGGTTAAAATTGGTTCATTGGTTCTTGAGAAGAAGTCGAAAATGTGAAAAGTTTTCAGATAGACGGACGGACGAAAGACAGTGTGATCAGAAAAGCTCACTTGAGCCTTCGGCTCAGGTGAGCTACAACTAGAGACGTAGCATTATTTTGTACATCTGTATAACATCCCTCTCGAGAATTGTTTACTCATAGCCATGGAGAAGCCATCTCTTGCCAGTGAACAGCTGCAAATTTTGTCCTTAACTCGGCAATCCTAGCCATTGAGCAGTGAGGAGTCTATTTCGTGTCAGCATCTGCTGCGACATGAGACCTAAGAATATACGTCTCATCCGAAGGACCGAAGTCCATGTCCCATAGTGGGATCCTGTGACGTAAAGATTGACTCCTTCAACTGTACTTTGCGACTCTAGAGCAGACGCAGTAACCACAGTGTCACGCGGGTGACTTGGAGGGGGGGGGGGGGGTAAGAAAAAGAAGACACAATTAGTTAAACATAGTAAATATGTCATCACCCGTAGACTTTTGAAGATTATCTATGTTTACCTGAATGGTTAAAATGATTTAATCATAAAAACATAAAAATAGTATACCTATATTTATTCATATTCTTATTCATTCATATAGGACGGATGACTTTAATTAAAAAAACTGAAAACGATAGTATTTAGGGGCTATGAAGGTGAACGACTGACCACGGAAGACTAGCTGCATACTGAGACTTCCCCGGGGGAAGTCTCACTGAAAGTCTTTCGAAGAAAGCAACACTATATAGTCAGTCTTCTTGGGGGATCTTACCATCTAGAGAGATACCCGAGGGAAAAATATGCATCGGGTACATACCTGGCGACCGCTTCACTAACAGGTATAGTTCGTAAACGTAGACGTAAACTTGAACGTAGCACGTAAGTGCTACTCACTAAGAGTTACGATTTGCAAATTACGATTAAACTTGATCGTAAATCTACGAGCAGTCAGCGGCACTCTAAAAATACTTACGTGCACAAAATTTCATGAAAAAAGAAATAAAAAAACGACAATATAAGCAAGACACTAAGTGATTTGTCACTTTCTTACACTTCTGTCTGTTTTTCATTAACAACAAAAGTATATTTTGTTTAGACTGTGTCTGATCTTAAAATCACACTGTCCAAATTAAAAAAAAAGATACAATACAAAAAAACATCCATTTGACAATTATATAAACACTATTAATTTTCAATTTTATTTTAAAGCCCAATATATTCTGCTCTCTATCATAAAAATCAAGCAATTAAAAATGCAGTTTAAAATTAGATCGAATGAGTTTTGAATAAGATAGCTTACAAGATAGATGCACGTATTCTGCACACCCTTTATAAAAATAAATAGTGACATAGAAATGAAATTAGAATTAAAAATAAATTTAAAAGAATTTTAACTCTATTCCTCACTGATTCTTATTTTTCTTTTCGAAATAAATTAATTTGCTAGAAAATGAACACAGTATACGTAAATTTGTGAAAATAACCGAATTTCTTTAAAATGAAAATGTAGTTACTTACTGGATTACTCAAAATAAAATCAAACTAACAATTTCTAACTTATGAAAACTAATATACGTAAATGTAAACAGAGGTCAGAAGAACACGGAGGATGTCCACTTTTTGGCATAAATATTGCTACATAGCAGAATTTTCTTCAGACAGGCTATGTTGTTATCCCTTTCTACTTTTTGTTGCTTTTTGGTCGGGCACCGGCAAATTCTAGGAGTTGGACATTTTATTATTTTCCTTTGCTTGTCAGATTACTCTTGGAAATTACCCCCTTCTTTATTTTTTGAGGGGGGTTACAATTAAATTTTATTTGATTTCATTTTGCTTCTCATGTAAAATTTTGGGAACTTGCCCCCCCCCCCCCCCCCTTTTTTAAACCATTGTTACGGGCAAAGCTCCAATATATACAAAAACCTACACAAGATATACAAGGAGGGTTTTGTCGGTTGCTGGATCAGCGTTTGTTAAAGACAATTTGAATCAATTTAGAGATTTAGATTGAATAAATTTGTTTTATAAGATTAACTTGCAAATTGTAACAGTAAAATATTTTCCTGTATTATTTTCCCTATGCTTTGAACGGGATATTGCAATGAATAGTTTGCTAACATATTTGCTTATTTATTTATACTAATCTAAATTTTTAAAACATGCGTATGAGTTTTGGCAATATTTAAGATAATAAACATGACGAATTGCAGGTGCAGATCCAGAAATTTTTCAAAGGGGGGTTGAAGTATTTTTCAAAGGGGGGGGGGGGGGGGGTTGAAGGCGAAAACAGTTAAAACGTACGTTGTACACATATATATATATAGTTAAATAACTCAATAGAATATCGATACAGGATGGAATATGGTTTTTGAAAGTGAAACGTTGATCAATCTGGGAAAAAGTACTTGTATAAATTACCAGAAAGTTTTTGAAAAAGAAAGGAAATAAATCTACGAACCTGAAAATCCTATTTTGTAAAGGGAGGGGGTTTTATTTTGTTTTTACAACCAAATTTCTTTATATGTTACGACATTGGCCTTTCATCATACATTTTCTATAGTAAAAACACAAAAAATTGGAACTTTCTTATTTCCCTTTCTTTTTTTGCAAATCCAAAGGGGGGTGCAACCCCCGTAACCCCCCCCCCCCCCCTCTGGATCCGCCACTGAATTGTATCACGTGCAGTTTTAATTTCTAACAGAAACATAAAACGAAAATGTCAATATGTATATACAGTCCGGTAAAAAAAAAACAACACTTTTGTAATATGTTTTGTTTTGTATCACCACGAGTGTGTCAAAATTTTTAGCAGGGAGTAAAATAACTTTTAGAGTTAGGTAAAATAAAACATTATACACCATTGTGGCGTATACTTAATATTGTAATTAAGATACGTTAAATGCGAGAACGAATAAAGATATTCAATACATATAATTTGATCCTAGTTATAAAAAGGAATAGAATAGGTATTTTCATTTTAGTGATCTATTTTCCATTCTTTGTCTCTCTCTCTCTCTCTCTCTCTCTCTCTCTCTCTCTCTCTCTCTCTCTCTTTGAAGACAAGGACAAATAATGAAAGATATTTATTTTTATTTCGTAATGATATAGATTTCTTTCGTTTTCTCTCCTCTTCTCTCACTCTCAAGCAAATACAAATACACCCCCTTTGTCAGAAGAGTTCCAATAAGTTGGTCGTATCTGCCCAGTCCTAAGTGCTAAGTTTTGCGAAACGCTCCTTTACGTGCACCTCTAGCAATGGTAAACGTTATCGTACGTTTACGATTTGCAATTTGTTAGTGAAATGGTCGCCTGATTTTATAACGATGATCATTGAAAATTTTTAATTCGATTGATAAAGATTTAAGGCAAAAGTTAAAAAAAAAACTCGAATAATCCCGGCCCGAGTTTACTTACCTCGTAGCGAACACCATGCCACCTAGCGTTATTATGCCGCACTTAATTTTGACAACTTGTACTCGTCTTCATTAAATATGCTTTGTTGTTTGCGTGATTGAATTTACGTTTGTAATAGAGATAATCATAATGATTTATTTAAGAAACTATATCAATTTTAAAGAAAGTAGAATGGTTTTGCAAAAATAATGCAACATATAAATGATGAAAAATGAAGAATGATAGAAGTAAAAAGTGAAATGTAATGAAGACGAATATGTAGTCAATAAAGTAACATATAGTAACAATAGAAGCAAAGAACGTAGAAGAAGGCAGAATAAGAATAAAAGCAAGATATATCGACTTTAGGCGGTAATTCCCTTCCATAGATAACCTCTACGAAATGCAAAATTCATGGTTTCTATAATAATTACTATCAGTGCATAGAATCTATATTTTGATGGTCTTGTTAGTGTCTCTAAATTCCATAATTGTAATTGATAGAAAATATATATTCAATTTATTCCATCGCCACTTTATGTTTACAAGACTCTTGCAAGCATATGATTTATTTCTATGATCTTCAAAAAATTACATAAGCTTTGAAGAAATCCAGCACATTCTAATACAAGAAATGGAAAGAAAAAGTTATCATTTTTAACTTATCACGCCAGGAAAGGAAAATACAGACAATAAAATTACGTTTTTATGTTATTTTCAGTGTCAGTTTCATCAAATTTAATCCCTCATGTAATCTTTTTATTTCAAAATACTTGTGAAAGTTTCATAGCAAAAATATTTATGCAAAAAGTATCAATTTTACCGCTTGTGTCTTCAATCATCAGCCATCCTGCGAACGTGGATGTGGCTATCATTCTCTTGGCGTCGATATACACAGATTCTCCAGAGTTCATCCAGGCAAACGTCATGTAACTGCTGCTGTCATAATTCCCGCTGCTCGAGTCTACCCAAATTACTGGCATAGAATTACCGTTACTGAATACAAACTTACACACAAAATCGTAATTTCCATAGATAAGTCCTGACATCATGAAAACGTAAAGACCAGAACGAGGCGCCACAAACTTCCCTGTAGTCGTTGAGTAAGCATCATCCGTGTCTAGGGTTTCGTTGTTAAAGATAATGCGAGAACCATTCACCTCATGCGAAAGGGAAGCATAAAATGCTGTGCAATCTGGAAATGATAGTTAACAGTTTGGTGTAATCCATGTTAGTTTCTTTTTCATATGAATGAAATAATAAAACATGGAAAATTTTAAAAATGGACGATAAGGAAAATGTTATTATGTATACATTGTACAGCGAAATTTCGAGGCTAAAACATTTTCAACCAATTTGCATATTGTTCAACAAAATGATTATTCAAAGGGGGAAAAAAGTCGTAAGGGTTACTTTTTGTATACCATTAATAAAAAAAATGGAAGAAAGTCATGCCTGTTTTACTGATCATCCAGCCAGAAAACATGGTATGCATCGCTTCAGCTCGCCCGCTTTTGACTCTGACCCAGACTTTGTCCTTATTGGTGAGGTTTAGGACGGCGAAGGAGGTAGTTGTGTCATAGTAAGATGAAGCTTGGTCGGACTTTGTTGTTCCCATTTCAAATCCATTCACTAAAAGCGCAGCCTCAGTCAACTGTCCGTAAGTCTCTATGCTCCAAGAAAACACATAAAAACCTGTTGTAGGCGCACTAAAAATCCCGGAGTTAATGTCGTAGCCGCGTTCAATATTTGAGATCACATGATCGAAAATAATGACTCCAGGACCGGAACTACTGTTAGCTACCACATGGAAGGCAACATGGTCAGGCGCCATCACTGTAAATTTTCAAATACATTTTAATAGATGTATAAATATAACAAAACTGAGGAGAAAAGATAATTTTTTCCATAAAATATACACAGAATTTATAAGGAAAACATGCAAAATACATGCAACTAGTCATGTGCAAAACATTTCAGATATAAGAAATAGATATACATATAATGTGGCTTTCAACGTTTTTAATTATTGCTGTTTTAAACGTTAACATATTAATTTAATCGAATGTTGTGTACATCAACTACTAAACCTGAATTGCGAGGTAAATAAGGAACTTTGAAAATGTCTATATCATCGATATCATATTGACGGGGAAAAGCTGCTTCATATCTTTTAGTATATAAAAATCAAATGATAAATGTTATTTCTTCTATGCCATCCTACAGTACCCGCATCAATATTCTCTACAGGATACACGATAGGATGGGATACATGCACGATACGAAAGGATACACAGACGATAGGCTAAACACAAAACACGATATACGTAAAACACGATACACACAAAACACGACCTGATAAACGATCTTCATGATAGAATAAACGCAAAACCTGATAGGATTGATTCAAAATGAGGAACGTTTTTTTTAAAAAGACGAAGAGATTATTTTGTTTGATAACTGCAATATATCTGAATTTAAATACTTGCAAAGCTTCAAATATAAATTATAAAGTACATTTAAAGTATTATACTTGATAAAAAAAAAACCAGCTTGAAATCACTGTGGTAATTCTACAATTTTTATTTATTTATTTATTTTTTACAATGATTTAATGGATTATTATCAAATGCAGACTGTAATTATTTTTTTATTATTTTTACACAAGAGTGGAGATTTCCTATTATCACTGTAAATGTTGAAATTCTTATCTAAAGGTTGAACTATGAATTGTTTTATTACGGATATTTGAACATACATGTAATGGCTGCACGGAAATCTCATAGATATATGCCATTTTGCACGGGTATCCTATTACAAATTTATTAAACGCTATAAATAAATTTATTTTATTATTAATGAAAAAAATATACATTTATACTTTAGGAATTAATTTACAAGTACTAAGTCATTTCACGGAAGAAATTGACGCAATGAATTAATAAAATATTTGTATTTAATTTCTAAAGCTTGCAATCTGCAGTGTATCCAAATATCGCAATTAAATATTAAAATATTAGGAAAACAAAAAATGTAGAAGACCAGCCGAAAGAATGGGTAGAAGAAATCCTCTATAACAAAATTAATAAACTAAACATGATAGATCTATCATGAACTACATCTATATAGTTCAAGAAAATTATAATTTGCTGAGTAGAAATCTAAATAAATGTTTATATAATATCGATCTGCATCAATACATGTAAACTGTCACTGTCAACAGAATATGAATCTGCAACACCTGCACGTACATGAACGCTTTCGCTCTCATATATGTACATTCCGGTAAATATCTATTTATCTTTAAACCTCGTATTCAATAACGAACATTACATGATAAAATGCTCTTTTTCCTTTACAATACAAAGCACAAAAAATAATAAATCAATATCAAAAGAGTGAAATGCGACTTTTCCGACAAAATAAATATAAATCATTGCTTTTAAACTCTGTGTGTATATCCTGTTACAAAAAAAAATAAAATAGGTTTAAGTCGGGAAATGGATTAAAACCGCTCATATGAGGAATATTCAGGGGCGGAATGCTGAAAGTTCATAACCAGATAAAAAAAAATCTAACCAAATAGCCAAAAATAAAATCGACTTCTTAAATAAAGTTCAAGACGTAGGAAATTGATTACTACTGCAAATTCATTCGGTGTTATACATTTACTCATCTTGCATGGTCACATCGGAATCAGACGAGTTCTACTGCTTTAATTTTGTAGTAAAATACCGTAAAAAATAATGCGAGCAATTTTTTTATAGTTCAGAATGTTAGAATTATTTTACCTTTTCTACGATCAATGAAATTGTTTTCTAGAATTTATTATGTCTGTATTACAAAGAAAACACGACGATCTAAAAGTTCAAATACTTGTTCCTTAAGTGCATTATTTTTTTTTAAAGTTTATTTTATGACTCATTGACATAAACATTATGGAAATATTGTACAGATTAAATAAATCAGGGGATTGAGTTTAGGGACTTTATTTCATTTAATTGTATGATTTAAAATCCGTAAATTGTATTATTATTTCATTTATAAAGATTTAAATCTCTAATGAGTGTTGTTTACACAAGGTATAAACAGAATCCCGAAAATAAATACTGTTTCACACAAGGTGATAATGCAGTACAGGTATTTTGACTGTTAATACACACGGGTCGAGGTGTCATTTAGGGGAATAGGTGAGAAGGAGGATGGGAGGTTGACCGCACACGAAGGCAGTGACTATGCTGATTAGAGAGGTACACATACGTGTCAGTTTTCTGGCAAGGATAGCTCTTCGATTTGACACTGATTTTATTTTAATTTTATTTCCACGCCGGAAATGTAAGCTGTTAAAAGTCATCATGTTTTTACTGTATTTATCACGTTTATTATTTTTAGATTATCTGATGCATGCCAAATAAAATAAATAAAAATTTCTATTTCATAGTAAGTGGTATGGTGTGATAAATTGGGTAGAGCATTTTCTTGCATTATAGGTTAAAATTTTGATTATTTTTCAAACTAGACATATCAAGGAATTTAGCAAATGAAATAGTGATAAAAATTAATTTAAACGGACAAAATCGGTGTTCAAGTTAACAGGATCAATGTCTTTTGCTTTGTAATTTTTGTAATATCAAGATTTTAAATAATCGTGCATACATGTACATGCAGATCAGAGGCGTGTTATCAGACGATAAGTCAGAAAAATAAATATTGCATTCAAAAAAGATACATTTAAATCTCCTGCTTATTAAGGTCTTCCGTCTCCAACGGAAGACCTTATTGTTTTCGTTCGGTTTCTTTTTCCCTTTTATTATTTTAACCGATTTTGTGCACGCGAGTTCTCAGAAACAACTCGTCCAATTTTCATGAAACTTTCAGATCTAGTAGGTATTGATCTGAACCTTATTGGAATTTTTTTTTATTGATAACGTCACTTCTTATCTCGAGATATTAAGGATTTTCTGATTTTTCAGAGGGTCTGCTTGTCCGGGGACCTCCTCCTAAACGGCTTAAGATATTGAGTCAAAATTTTCAGTGAAGTAAGAGGAAGGTTTGCAGATTTGCAAATGTGTGCTTAAAACTTTCTAGTGCTAAAAATCGCCGAAGCTCGGTAGGGCCCGAAAAAATGTCTCAGAAACATCACACAAAATTTTTGTTTCAAATCTTCTTATCTGGTCATAATTTGTTAAAACAATTTAAAAAAATTTGTGCAAGATGATAAACACTTTCATATGATATCATGAAAAGGGGCTGTCTCATCAAAATAGGGTCTCAGAGGGGCCAAAAGTCTTTGATCTTTAACTCTTGAATGATTAATACTTTGTGATACATTACAGAAGCAAAGATATTCATCTTCACGATTTGCAACAGTATATAATAAAATATGGATCATATATTACGTAATTAGGGGTCACAAGGGGCCAGAATGTCAAATCTTTGACGCTTTATATTTCAAAAAGGGGAAATATTTTGATCAGCAATATTGAACAAAAGATGGTCAGAATGATGTTCTAAACAATATGCACACTTTAAATTTTTGTAAAACGGCCCCTTTAGAAACTTGGAGAGATGACCCCTAAATATTTCTATTCAGCATATCTCCACAACGAAAAGAAATCTCTGAATAAGTGTTGAACAAAAAGTATTTCAATTTAAAATACCTTTCATTTGATATCAAGAAAAAGGTGCTGATCCCTCAAATTAGGGGTTCAAAGGGACCAAATGACTTTCATCTATAAATCTATTTTGATCAATATTTTGTTATACATTACTGAAGCAAAGGTTTCCATCTTAACGATTTCCATCATTATATGATAAAATTTGGATCAAATGTTGCGTCATAAGGGGTTACAAGGGGCCAGAATGTCAAATCTTTGATACTTTATATCAAAAAAAGGAAGACTATTTTGATTAGCAATATTGAGTCAGAATGATGTTCTAAATAATATGCATACTTTGAATTTAAATTAAATGGCCCCATTAAAGACCATGGGCGATGGCCCCTTAATATTTTCTATTCAGCATATCTCCACAACGAAAAAAAATCTCTGAATACGTGTTGAACAAAAAATCTTCAAAATCACAAGACTTTTAACTTGATATCAAAAAGGGGCTGAATTTTCAAATTAGGGACTCAGAGAGGCCAAAAGTCTTTCATCTATAAATCTATAATGATCAATATTTTGTTATACATTACTGAAGCAAAGGTATCCATCTTAACGATTTGCAACAATATATGATAAGATTTGGATCATATGTTACGTAATTAGGGCTTAACAGTGGCCAGAATGCCAAAACTTTGATGCTTTATGTCTCGAAAAGGGGGAAATTTTGATGAGCAATATTGAACAAAAGCTGATTAGAATGATGATCTAAGCAATATGCGTAATTTTTGCATTATTACTTCGTGGATTCTAAATACATCCATTCCGAATATCTCCACAAGGAATAGAAATCTCTGAATAAATGTTGAACAAAAAGTCAGTGAAATCACAAGACCTTTCATTTGATATAAAAAGGGGCTGACTCCTCACGTAAGGGGCTCAGAGAGGTAAACGTTTTTCATCTTTAGCTCTATAATGATCAATATTTTGTCATACATAACTGAAGTACAAGTGTTCATCATAGCGATTTGCAATAAACATATTATAAAATTTTGATCATATGTTACGTAATAAGGGGTCACAAGGGGCAAGAATGCTATATATCTGACGGCTTATATCTTGAAAAGCATGAATATTTTGATAAGCAATATTGAACAAAATTAAAGATGGTCAGAATAATGTTCCAAACAATATGCACTGTTTGTATTTTTAACAAAGAGCCCCATTAAGGACTTGGAGAGATGAACCCTAAATATTTCCATATAGAAAATATCTTCAACGAAAAGAAATCTCTGAATATGTGTTGAAAAAAAGTCTTTGAAATTACAAGACCTTTTATTTGATATCAAGAAAAACAGGCTGACTCCTTAAATAAGGGGCTCAGAGGGGTAAAAAGCCTTTCATCTTTAACTCTTAAACGATCAATATTTTGTGAAACATTACAGAAGAAAAGATATGGCACCTGATCCAACCTCTGATGTTTCAGGGTCCGTGTTCCTCTTCTGCTATTTTGTATTTTTTTTTATGAACTTTGATATTGAATATTGTTCGTTATCTCCATATCCTTCTCAACGATTTGCAACAACATACTAGTATTTTAAAATTTTGGTCATATGTTACGTAATGAGGGGTTTCAAGGGGCCAAAATGCTATATCTTTGAGGTTGTACATCTTGAAAAGGGTGGGGGGGTGGGGTGGGGGATGGTATTTTAATAAGCCATATTAAACAAAAGATGTTCAAGATATCTTGATATAAATCAGAAACTTTAAATTATATGACGAAAAACTTAATGACATTCGCTTTTAACGAATATCTCAGTCAAAATCACATCTCATCTCATCGAGAAATTCAACAAAAGACCTACTCGTTGCTCGCAACGAGATCTCATCTAGTTATTTATATTTTTTCGAGGGGGGGGGGATACGCATGCATCGTGGTTTACAGAAAATCTTCCTCAAGTAACTCTGACTAATTTAAGAAAATCATAATAATACTATTTAATCACCCCCCCCCCCAAAAAAAAATAAATTAAAAAAAAAAAATAAAATTCGATAAATTAAAAAGAAAACAGGGGATTTATTATATCAAATATATATTAAATTTTGATAATTACTGTCTGCTTTACCATAATTATTTGATTTACCCGGGTATTTATTTTATTATTAATTTATTTATTTCTTCATAAATATTATAATTTACTTATTATTTTCCTTCTACGCTTTAATATTTCTTTTAATGATGAAAACTAAGGGATAACAGTTTAAACTTCAGAAGGGTGCTGGAGGGCGGTATGATACAGCGATATACTGACAGTGGTACATTATTCTCTTTCTCGGTTAAAGAAATCTTATTTTAGTTAACAAAACGAAAACGAAACTCGGAACACCTTGGTCATTTATTCCTATATTAAAGATAAAAAGTGAGGGTTTCCGAATATACACGATAAACGCAAAGCACGATACACGATAAAACCTGATATAGGATCTACACGATTAACGCAAATCACGATAAACTGAAAACATGATAGAAAACGCAAAACACGATAAACAGAAAACACGATACGATAGGATACACACACGATAGGAAACGACCGAATTGTGAAGAATAACGATGCGGGTACCCTACTAATTGGGTATATAGTTGAAGTCCCAGCCAAACACAATAAGAGAAACTAAGTTCAAATTAAGATAACCAGGTTATAAATTTAGAATTTATTGTTTTTCAATTTTCTATGTTACATGGAATGTGGAATAAACACCTAATATCAGAAAAGTTGGATTTATTTTCAAGGGGGATGAATGAAATAGAAAAGACAGCATAAATTGTGCCTGAAAACGACAAAAACCTACTCTCCCACCCCTCCCCCCAAAAATAATTAAAATGGAGACGTTCTCTATTCACCTTATTTGGGAAGGAGGGGGGTTAGGTTTCAATGTCAGGTGGGGTATCTTTTTGATGAATATTTTCATATTACGTTGAATATAAGTTTTCACGTTCATACAGATAATTAAGTCAGAAAAGAGTCAATTTCCTCCCTTCCAATTCCAACAACGATCATAATTTCATCACTCGAGAGGAAAATGGGTGAAAGAAAAGTACTATTTTATAATTTTGGAATGTCCAGGTGTACTTTTAATTTAATGTTGAAAAAATCTTTTTGTGCACGTGGATGCCACGAGCAGGTGAACAAAACGAATTATTTGTTTTTATATAAGGTTTGAGGTCACTCAGTTAGACATCTAACAGATATTTCATAGGAAAATTAATTGCTACAATAACTGCAAAACTAACTTTTATTCGCATACGCAAGTGTTAGAACCTAATTTAACTAGCAAATATTAATCACTGCTACATGTAACCAATTGTTTTGTTTTGGTACAGAATGCTTCTTAAATTGGAGATAAACTGACAAATCGCAATTAAAAGATGATTTAGTATTACCCGAGAAGGTGATGGCCAAAATTGATAGTTTTATAATATATGATTCGATTAAAATCTAAGAAGATTCTTACATATTAACAGTGTTTCCTTGACTGAGTTTAATTCTTTCTCAAGCATCTCCGTTTTAATATCCTGATCTTTTTTGGATTGATTGAGCCTGCTGACAAGCTGCTTCAGAAATGCTGTTTGATCTTTTAATGTCTTTATTTCATCTTGTTCAGAACACGTGTCCGAGTCAGAATAAAGGGTTTGGCTTGAGCAGGAATATATCAATTGCATTGCGGATAAAATAGTCCAAAAAACTATCTTTCTTTCTGTTGCCATAGTGCTTACTTTCCAAAACTTCGTCACATGAAGAACAAAACTCAAACCTTTAAACACACACACACACACACACACACACACACACACACACACACACACACACACACACACACACACACACACACACACATATATATATATATATATATATATATATATATATATATAGGTAAAATTAAAATAAAAAAGTCAACACAGATTAAAACGTAAGCGCTTTCATTACATCTTCAGACGTTTTACAAATGCATTCTTTATCCTGACTGCAATGTCTTACAAAACTATTAATACTTTAAAAATCATTATCTATAATTGAATCTGACAGCAAGCAATTAAATGCTTGCAGTTTGTTCACACCTTTGAAACCAAATCCGACATGTGTTTATACTCTTAGCCGGAGAACATCGAAAGGTTACACTCTGTGTGAAAGTTTCATCAGAAATCAAATTAAATCAAACTATTAAGACTGGGATTAAATTTTTGAATGAAATATTTCTCTTTTTCTCTTCTTTCTGTTATATTGTCTTGAAAAAGTTTATAAAAAGGGAACACTTTAAATTGTCCTTGTCCGCACCTATCAATGTGTTCGCTGAGTTTGATCTTACGGTACTCAGGAACTTGAATATGCTGTTTATGCACGCGAATTCTGGCTCTCAATGTGGTCCCCGTTTCACCGATGTAGAATTGGTTGCATCCTCCGCAAGTAATAACATATATTAAATTTTTGGACTCACATGTCATGTCTGAATTAATAAAGAAATCTTTTCCTTTGAAATTAAATGATGTTCCTTCTCTTAAAACAGAACATGTGCCACATCGCGGATCTTTACACTTTGTCACGGATTTTGTAGATTTCGTTATTTTGGAAGGACAGAGTATTCTTCTGAGGTTTTTGGGCTGCCTTTTGCTGTTTATAAACTTGAATTTTGAAAGAACATTTGACATTTCTTCATCCGTTTTGAGAATTTCGTTCAGATTTTGAACGATAGGTGTAATATTTGGGTTTTTAGGATTGTAAGTTGTGACTAGTGGTAATATTTTAATATTTTCCTCATCAAAAAAAAGATATTAAAGAATACACACGTAGATTACGACTAGCAGAATACTTTAACACCACAGAGAGTGATGAATCGGATTCAAATGAACCGGAGGATTTAGTTAGAAATAAATCTAATTTCAATCCCAAAAAAGGACGAAATGGTATGTTAGATACTGTTTGTGAAACTCTTCAAAGTCTAACACTTGATACAACACATAATAAATCAGTAAGAAATAACTTGTCCAAAAACGAGGAGAAAGCTTTACGATCCTTAGCAAGCGATAAAACTATCATCATTAAAGAAGCTGATAAAGGAGGAGCTGTGGTTATTATGAACGCCGATTACTATGAAAGAAAGATAACACATATGCTTTCCAATACAGAATTCTACACAGAAGTTGCTGAAAACCAGGATAAAAAAGCGATGCAAAAAATTAAGAAATTGTTACATAAACACTCCTCAGTATTATCAGAAAAGGAGGAAGATTTTGTAATTAATTTTGACTATAAGGAAAGTTGTTTCTATGGGCTACCTAAAATACACAAATCAAAATTAATCAAAGAAGCTATAAAAAAACAAAACGCCGAATATATTGTTTGTGAAAATCCACAAGATCTAACATTCCGACCGATTGTTGGAGGACCCGAAGCACCTACCCAACGTCTCAGCAATCTACTAGATATAGTGTTGAAACCTCTCTGTCAACACGTTAAAAGTTTTGTTCGGGACGATTTAGATTTTTTACGACATCTACCTAAACAAGTCGATTTTAATACACAACTTGTAACTTTAGATGTAGTAAATCTGTACACCAATATAACCAGTACCTTAGGAATCAAGGCTTTAAATTTTTGGATTGAAAATCACAGAAATGAAATTGACAACCGGTTTACAAAAGAATTTTTACTGGAAGCCACCGAATTAGTTTTAAAGAACAATGTGTTTACTTTCAATGACAAATATTTTCATCAAGTGAAAGGTACAGCCATGGGTACCAAAATGGCCCCTACATATGCAACACTTACCCTTGGATACCTAGAAGAAGCACTATATGAAAAAGCTAATGAACAGTTTGATGCAGAATTTTGCGAATATCTTAAAAGAAACTGGAAAAGATATCTGGATGATTGTTTTATTATATGGAAAAAAGATGATTCAGATTTGATCATTTTAAATGATACCTTAAATGAATTAGACCCAGATATCAAATTTACAATGGAAAAAAGTTCTACTCAATTACCATTTTTAGATGTATTAATCTGTAAGGAAAACAACAAAATTGCAACAGATATATTTTATAAGAGTACTGACACTCATCAATATTTGCATTTTGGATCTTCCCACCCGCGACACATTAAAAGAGCAATACCTTACAACCTAGCCCGACGAATATGCACAATAGTAAGTGAGGAGGAAACCAGAAATCAACGTCTGGATGAATTGAAAATATTTCTCACAGACCAACATTATCCTTTAAGCTTAATCAACGACGGCATCAGAAAAGCAAAGGAATTAAACAGAGAAGAATTAATTAATCCAACTCCTAATGATGAGGAAAATATTAAAATATTACCACTAGTCACAACTTACAATCCTAAAAACCCAAATATTACACCTATCGTTCAAAATCTGAACGAAATTCTCAAAACGGATGAAGAAATGTCAAATGTTCTTTCAAAATTCAAGTTTATAAACAGCAAAAGGCAGCCCAAAAACCTCAGAAGAATACTCTGTCCTTCCAAAATAACGAAATCTACAAAATCCGTGACAAAGTGTAAAGATCCGCGATGTGGCACATGTTCTGTTTTAAGAGAAGGAACATCATTTAATTTCAAAGGAAAAGATTTCTTTATTAATTCAGACATGACATGTGAGTCCAAAAATTTAATATATGTTATTACTTGCGGAGGATGCAACCAATTCTACATCGGTGAAACGGGGACCACATTGAGAGCCAGAATTCGCGTGCATAAACAGCATATTCAAGTTCCTGAGTACCGTAAGATCAAACTCAGCGAACACATTGATAGGTGCGGACAAGGACAATTTAAAGTGTTCCCTTTTTATAAACTTTTTCAAGACAATATAACAGAAAGAAGAGAAAAAGAGAAATATTTCATTCAAAAATTTAATCCCAGTCTTAATAGTTTAATTTAATTTGATTTCTGATGAAACTTTCACACAGAGTGTAACCTTTCGATGTTCTCCGGCTAAGAGTATAAACACATGTCGGATTTGGTTTCAAAGGTGTGAACAAACTGCAAGCATTTAATTGCTTGCTGTCAGATTCAATTATAGATAATGATTTTTAAAGTATTAATAGTTTTGTAAGACATTGCAGTCAGGATAAAGAATGCATTTGTAAAACGTCTGAAGATGTAATGAAAGCGCTTACGTTTTAATCTGTGTTGCCTTTTTTATTTTAATTTTACCTATATAAAAACCGGACACTGTGAAATTTTCAAATTTGGATATATATATATATATATATATATATATATATATATATATATATATATATATATATATATATATATATATAAATCCAAATTCAAATGATAAACTCAAACTTTTATCTAAAGCGCTTTCGCCCAATGCGGGCTCATCAGTAGATTTGAAATTGTAAACAAGTTACATTATGACGTCATTCTCGTGACGTTATGTATGCAACGTTAAACATAATCATTATGTTTAACGTTGCCTACATAACGTCACGAGAATGACGTCATAATGTAACTTGTTTACAATTTCAAATCTACGGATGAGCCTGCATGGGGCGAAAGCGCTTTAGATTAAAGTTTGAGTTTATCATTTGAATTTGGATTTTATTTTATCCCTTTACCAAGGAAAAATAATTTTTTGAATATATATATATATATATATATATATATATATATATATATATATATATATATATATATATATATATATATATATATATATATATATATATCCAAAATGAAAAGAATTGGCACAGTGTCCGGTAAATAATATTAGAAAAAAATGACAAGGCAACAATGTTAGTAAAACGTAAGCGCTTTCTTCATTATTTCTTCAGACGTTTTACATTTCAAAACAATTCAAAAATGTGACGTAATAACGTTACCTGTAGATAACGTCAACAACAATGCAATGACGTCACAATGCTAAAAGAGGAAACAATTATAGTGTCAAAGTAAAATAACATAATTCATAGCGTAATAAATAAGTCATGAGACAGTCTATTTTAAACTATTTAAAGATGGTTTAAAAATCTTGATAAAATGTTTTTCTTTTTCCCGTCTTTCTAAAACGTTTTCTGTTTTGAGTTTATAAAAGGGATAAACTGAATTGTCCCTGTCCACAAACAGCAAGATGTTCACTGAGTTTTATTTTTCTGTACTCTGGTTGGTTGATATGCTGTCTGTGAATACGTATTCGAGTGCGAAGGGCGGTCCCGGTTTCTCCTATGTATAGTTCTCCGCATCCAGCGCATGTTATACAATAAATCAGGTTTTTTGATGCACATGTCATATCTGCATTTACGGTAAATTTCTTATTTCCGAGTGTAAAAGTACTTCCCTCTTTAATATATCGGCAAGTTCCACAACGTAAGTCGGAGCATGTATTGACCGTGTATGAAATCCGTTGTTGAAATAAAGATTTGCACAATATTCTTCGGAGGTTTTTAGGTTGTCTTTTACTGTTGATGAATTTATATTTTTCCAGAACTTTAGACATTTTCTCATCAGTCTGTAGAAGGTTGTTGAGGTGACGCACTGTAGGAGTAATATTCCTGTTCTTCGGATTGTAGGTAGTTACAAGCGGTAATATTGAGGTATCCGGGTCGTCACTTTTTGAGGAATTGATAAGTGTTTCTCTGTCGATTTCTACAGACATATACTACAAACCGACGGACACCCACCAATATCTCCATTTCAGTTCCTGTCACCCTAGCCATACGAAACGGTCGATCCCGTACAATTTAGCTAGAAGAGTCTGCACAATAGTTAGCAACGAGAGAAC